TTGAAACTATCTTGCATATAGTAGGTATTAAAAAAAATACTAGCTTTTATTGTTTCATACTTGGGTAGAGGATCCTGAAAACACTGTTCCTCATGCTCCTAGTCCAAACTTCCAGTGACCTGGGGGCATCGCAGCCTGCCCATGCGTCGTACAGCTGCTCTACAGAAGGACCTGGATCCTTTGACAAGCTGTTCGTGGATGTAGCCCATCACTGCGGACCCCTTGTTGACCAGTGGACATTTCTGAGAATGCGCTCCTCTGGGCTGTCTCTGCATTAGATGATACTATCACGCTGGCAGAGAGGGCTGACAGTAATGTTATCAGAAGGCAAACAATAGCTATTTCAGGTAATGGGGGACAATGTCAGAGTCACGATCCTCTCTCATCTTTCACAAACTACTAAACACAATGCGCGTCTTCATGCCCTCCATTAAGAAAGTTTTGCTTGAGGGATAGTTATGATGAGTAAAAAGAAGACCACAATGCATCTCCTCACTTTTGAGTTTACAAAACACTGACTTGACTCTTGTGACACTAAGGCTGACCCTTTTATTCCCGCTTCATTGACAAACCCAGGCTTAGAAATTAATTTTCCAAGCATGTATTGCTGGTGAAGCTACCTTCAACTTGAACCTAGTCCTTCAAACCCTCAAATCTGTGCATAGAAAATAGAGGTGAAGTAGAGTTACATAAAAAAGATTATTTCAGGAGAATGTCTCAGCAGAACAGTTTGATGTGTGAACAATTTTTAAATCATGAATATAGGCCTTTGTAACAGAAATACAATGGGCAACCAAGAATGAATATATGGATGAGATGTGGGTAGAAGAAAAATGGATGTATATCCAGAAATAAAGAAGAGTATTAGGAAAAATTGTTCAAAGGAATACAGCTTGTGGTCTCAGGCATAACTAGATTCAAAAACCCACAGATACAAATGGAAAAAAAATAGAAAAGAAAAACGGAAAAGCTGACAGTCATTCCTTAATGGCCCCAGGCTCAGAGAGAGAGGCAGCCTTTGAGGATGTCAGACAACCCCCAGGAGAGCCCCAGCAGGTGTCTTCAGCAGGCGAACTCACCTCACCTTTGGCCTAGTTAACCATTCCCACTCGGGGGACATCTCCAGAAGGCAAGGAAAGGTCACACTGGCAAACAAATTCCTCCAGCTGCTGCCAGCTGCCTGCCATCTCATCAGCCTGGCGTTTGATCTTTGATAAGAGGTCAGTGACCTTTTCAAAGGCAACACCTCAAATGTTCTCAGTTCACCTAGACCTCTGTATGGATGAATTTTAGGTCCTTACTTGAAAGGAGCTTTTATCAGGAAAGGGAAGATGAGAGGCAGGGTGCTGGGCATTTGAACGGAGTAAGGAGAGAATCGCCTCCTCAATGAAAGCTGGTAATGTTGAAGGCAGATCTGTCCTTTGCACAATTTTGCCTAACAGTAGCCATCATTCTTTGAATAATGCGTCATATGGAAAAATCATGTATATGGGGTAGGTGTGTGTCTGCAGACACAATAAGTAATAGCAACCGTACAGATCACTGGTAACATTTTTTTGCTCTCTTACCATATGCCAAGCACTGTGCTTTACATTCCCTATTGCATTTCATCTTTATAGCATTTCAAATGGGTGGGTATGTTCCTTTTCCCATTTAATAATTAGAGAAGCAGGTTTAGAAACTAATTTTTATTCGGCTAGGAAGTGGTAAAAACTCAAACGAGTCATTCCAATTCCAATTAAACTGCTAATTGTGTGTGCTCGATGTAAACTGCAATGTTTCTGTCATAACACACACACACACACACACACACACACACACACTCATTTTAGACCCTGCAGCAAAAAAGCCAGAGCCCCCGCTCCACTTAATTTTTAACCTCCTAGTTTACCATACATGCGTACACAGAATTGGACTGCGGAGAAAAAATGTGGCAGTTAATCGTCAGAAAAGTTGGAAAGCAAGTAAGGGAAAAGTGAAAACAGAAGGATATAAACAGTAAGGGTGGAACATTTGTCAAGAGTAGAAATGGAAAATAAGAACTTTCTGTACCTGTAAAAAACAGTGAAAATGTAACCTTCTAAAGCTTGAAGGAATTGCTTTAAGTTCAACAAAAATACACAACTCTGATGAGGCTTTCTGCTAAATTCCGAAAATGATCATATAAAATCCCTGGGCAGAAAAATGTGCACAGTATCAGGTTATCATGGCATTTTACAATCCATCTATCTACTGCCAATTCATCAATCTCACAACTGTGTGTGTCTCTATCCTGTGCTTTTTCAGACTTAAATAAAAGTGTCTGGGCTCTGAGAGATACTTGGAGAGAGGTAAAATAGTGCCTAGCACGTAGTATAAGCTCAATAAATGTTCTCTGAACAGGTCGTTAAAGGGCAAACCTGGCCCACTCATCTCAAATACCAGATTTACTCAAAGGTAAGGAAGTTAGAACTTTTATATAATAAAGTTATCATGACACATAATGGAACAGAATATAAAATCTCAGTGAAATTGTAAGCTAAAACCCAAAGCTCTACACTAAAAATGGACTTGCTTTGGTACCTGCTTAACAAAAAGAGAGAGAGAGACGAGAGAAGGGGGGAGGGGGGAGGGAGGGAGGGAGGGAGTGATGGAGGGAGGGAGGGAGGGAGGGAGGAATGGAGGGAGGGAGGGAGGAAGGGAGGAAGGAAGGAAGGAAGAAAAAGAAAGTCAGTCTCCTAAACCCTTAGGAAATCCTGTTCTCTCCTCTCCTCCATTTTTAGTATTTAGCGGAAATATTTGGATACGTATATGCATGTGAACACATGGATGCATATATTTATTCTGGATTATGGACCTCTGACATTTCTATTTTAACACGACTCTGTCTAAACAACTGGGTTTTTTAATGTCATAGTAGAGAGAAATTGTGCACCCTTCCTTTTAGTATATTAACAGCACAGCAGGTCCCTGAGAACCAGGGTAGCTAAGGAATAATTGACTCCCTCCCTTTCTCCTCTCCATGACAATTATGCTGTGATTCACATTTCATGCCATTATTTGAACCAAAAACAAAAGAATGACATTTTCTTCTCCAGTGTTTTTTTTTTTAAATTTAACAAACTAGAAAAAGAAATGCCAAAATATAATCCTTGTCTCCAACCCTTTCACCTCTTGTCCCAAACCATAAGTCTCTGCAGAAATGGTTTGGAAAACCAGGCAGCACCCACTTATCCAATGTTAGATCTCAGGCCCTCAGACAGCCAGGAGACCAATTAGTGCCCCGAAGTGCAGCGGAGGTTGCCGTGCTGAGGGCCCAAAAGAATCTGGGTATGTCTACGCAGTGCTGAGTTAGTCAAGCAGAGAAGTACACGGTAACTTTGAAATATTTTGAACTTATTGATCCTGAACCTTTCTTTAGAAAATAAATGAGTACCACAGATTTGTCCCAGACCCCAAGGGACATTTATAAATAAAAAACCTTTGTCAACTTGAGGCTAAAATGGTTAAAGAATTTATCTGACTGCTAACACAGAAGGGACCTCACACTTTTGAAAAGATTCCAGGCAGAGCCATGGTGCCCTTGATCATTTCTATTTTTTTCTTTCTTGTTAAAACTTTTTTAAAAAGTTATTTTATTTTCCCATGGCACCCTCTGTTAACTTTTGATCTAACCTGGTAAGATATATCCATAGAACGGTCATAGAATGTAAAACACAGCAAACTAGGGTAGACTCCAGAGCAAGAAGATGAATGTCAATGCCCCTAACTCCAGTGAAGAAGAGACTTTGTAAAATTTACTTTACTATATGGCATGCAGAAACTAGGTGAGGAACATTTAGATTTATCTGTAAAATGAGCTTGACATTATCACTGTCATCTGACACACCTCAGCAATTTACTTCTCCCACCTTAAATGTATAGTATGTTTATCCCTCCTAAGTGACTCTTGTACAGTCCTCTGAAGCTTCCTAAAAGTATGTTCAGTATGAATGCAGACTGATATTATTCATCCCAATTTCACCACTTGCAAGGAAATAAATCCCCCTCAGGAGACGATTCCACAGCCCGCTGCTGCTCACAGAGCAGGGCTGATGCCTTTCCTCTCCCCTTCTGCTCCCTAAGCACTCATCACAGGGATGTGAGAAAAAGGCATAGGACATGGCAAGGTGACAGGTCAAAAGGTCAAGGATCAATATAGTGATGTGTTTTAGGATATTTGTTTGATTAAATGAGCTTCATAAAGTATTTAAGGAGGTTTGTACTTACCACTTATGAAATAGTAATCAAATTAACAAAGCACAGTGAAATCAAAAATTGGATAAGATTTGTGCAGAAAAATCAAACTAGACCACCTTCTTACACCACACACAAGAATAACTTCGAAATGTTTTAAAGACTTAAATGTTAGACTCAAAACCATAAAAATTCTAGAAGAAAACATAGGCAGTAAAACCTTGAACCCTGCTTGTAGCAATATTTTATCTGATACATCTCCTTAGCAAGGGAAACAAAAGGAAAATAAATACATCAATAAATAGGACTACACCGAACTAAAATATATCTTGTTTTAATAGAAGTAAACAATAGCATGCAAAGATACTGTTTGAGAAATTCCAGAAATACCTATATTTAGTGGGCACTTGCACCCTGCACGCTTAGCTTCTGCTAACCCAAGAGCTACTGTACCTGAACAATAAAAAAAAAAAGAAAAAAAAACTATTTGAAATTCTTCCACTACATCATATTTAGGCCGTGGCAAAAAGGAGCCAGATAACATGCTGAGTGGAAGGAGATACACATTTAGGTGGACAAAATCTACCACAGTTAATCCTTGAAAGTGAAATTTCTGCATCCTCTCATCAAGAGTTACTGAGCATTTGATTAAATACCCTAGGCATTTGGTCCTCAACCTATTTTCATTTCTCCCCCCAACTGGCAAACAAGAGAAATTAGACCAAGGACCTGAAGAAACAAAGTGTGTACTTTAATATAGAAATGCTTTTACCTGCCACGCCTGCTGTGACCGAAATGGACCCGGCTTTCACAATGTTAGTCAGCTTAACTCGCAGTTGGTGGCACTGGAAAATGGAGCCATGCAGCCTTACTGCTCTGTTTCTGTTCTTCAGCTGCCAACTGGAATACAACAGAGAGTCAAAGGGAAACAAAAGCGAGGTGGACCCACAGCGAACCTGGAGGACAACAACAAAGCAAGCAAAGAAAACGGTAATGGATCCAAGACACTGTGCTGGCCGAATGCGGCATCCCAGGCCGTTTTGACGTTGAGGGTAATTATGCTTCTGTTAGTTGCCATGTTTTCCCCACAGAAATTCACAACAGTGTACAGACCACAAATTATCTAGTAGACATTCGTCTTTGCAACATCTTAAAAAAAGTTGTGTGATGGTTTTAACCCCAAGAGAAAAGAGCTACCATCCTGTTACTCAGACAATGATAAAATATATTTAATATATTGTTGGAGATTTTGGAATAAACGTAAGTGATGTGGAAAACACTAGTTTTTCTGGAGTACGAAGAGAGCACCTGACCACTCTGACGGACCAGTGTATGTGCACCAGATAAAGAGGGCTAGATATTTAACATCCGCAAATTGTACCTACAGGCACTTGGAACTATCCGTAAGCCCAGCTCCTTCATTGTCCCTTCATTGCCTTTTGTATGTTTTTTTTTCTCATGCAGATGTTATATTATTACAACAGTAAAAACAAGGCTGCCACTTACCACAAAATCCTTATTTCCCATTTTAACTTTAGAGCACTTTAAACTATGCCATTGTCTTGGGTTCGTTCGCATTTAAGAATTCACACATCGACAGTTAAACCTCATCCCAAGTGAGAGAATAGTATGCCTTTCCCTCCCATAACAATGATAATGTATGTAATTTATTTTTCATTTAAATAGGTTACATGCTTAATGAGTCATGATTTTCTAAGCTGCAAAGGATGAAAAATAGTAAAACAGTATAATTAATACATAGAGAAAATACATTAAATAGCTTGGCCCTCAGTGCTTCAAACTGGTCACAGTTCAGACAATGTATATGAAGCTCTATATTACAGGTTTCCATGTCAAATTGATAAATGCAAACTTTCTTGGGGTTGAGATAATGACAGATAAAATCAAATGTAATCGTACTCTATGGGACATGATAAAATCTTACCTCATCAGATGGTACCTCCCGCATGTTTCCTTCTCCCAGCTATTTTATTACTGACGCAGTAGCAGCATTCAAATAGCCTTTCTTATAGGACATTGTTTTTCAAGATAATCAGCATTAAAGTATTAACTAGATGATCCAAAATTAGAGTATAAATTGTAAGATTGTTGTTGTTGTTTCAGCCAGTCTGAAAATTTAAAACAAGGAAAAAAAATAAAAACTTTCCACTGGCTAGCAATAAGAAAAAGATGATATTAAGTCAATGGTATATATTACCATGAACTTGCTAGCATTTTATATTTTAACTTTCTCAGAATCAATTTTTGATCTCACAAAACTCTAAAACTCAAATTATGCCTACCTCCAGACGTAGCAAGATGGTAATTTGGTAATTTTCTACATTGAGACCTGAATTATCTTTCGTGATCACATACTCTGCTCAAATTCATTATAAAAATGACCAATTTACCACCTCACTTAACATGAGGAAGACAATACTACAGAATGTGGGTCCCAGGGTAGAACAACCAAATGCTACCTGGGGACAGATGAATGTGTTAGAGCGTGTGTGAGTAACTTAAATTGTCCCAATTATTCTTTTACCTAGAAAACGATTTCTATACTCCCCATTACCATTTCCAAACACATACCCTTTGAAGCAAGAGCCATTAGCACACGTCATTTTCTACTGCCAGAAGCCGGCGCACAATAAATCTCTTACCTTGTAGAGATGGAACAGCAGAGGGCTCGTAATAGAATGAGTGATGCATAAAATGTTCTTCAGCTTACTTCCCCCGGGATTTATCCTCCCAAACCTAGGAACACCGTCTGCCTGCACGGATGGAATACTAAGCAATGCGGTAAAACAACCAATGCGTTAGGTATAGCTTTTCAACTTTGCCAAATCTAGAAGAAACTGTAAAATAAGTAAACAACTAAGCAAGTATGTGTCTAGATATTCTGGCACAAACTAGCTGGCAAAACATACTAGTTTAAATAAGGAAGCTTAGAGATGAGCTCATATTTTTAAACATGATTGTGTATGTAATATGCTTTTTCTTAGAAGCTGAAGGACTATTGCAGTCTTGGTTATAGCTTTAAGAGAGAGACTGTTTTCCATTATATGATACAAGTATTCCACAAGAAAATCACTGGATCTGAATTACAGATAAAATGCTGGTCAAGTAATTCATTTTTTTCTTCAAAAATCCTCAAAGTAATAAAGAAAAGAAGTAAATCGAAGAGAAAATATTACAAAAATGTATTGCTCAAATTTTCACTCAATTTCTTCATTTAATTTTTTGAAAAAATTGTCACTAATTTTTTGAAGGCATAGTTTCAAATCAGACTTGTTTTCAAGTCTAAATTTAACTTCTATTCCCTGTGTCATATTTCTTCCAGCATGAGAAGGAAAATCAATGCCCCTACTCACCTTTGGAAGAATTTCAGCACAAAGTCTCCATGGTTCTATGGGATCCAATAATCCGTGGCACAGTATTGATTTTTTATGACACCTGTAGAAACAGCCTCTCCTTCCTTTCTAACAAAATATAGCAACAAAAATCGTGTAGTTTCTGAATGAATTAAAAAGAAGCTATTAAATACAATTTCATCCTGTAAAAGAAAAGTGATTTACATTTTCTGAAAAAAAAAGATACCTTAGCTTGATTTTTCTGAGCCATTTAACAACTTTTTAAAGATAAAGTGAGCATATATTTTTAAAGATAACTTGAAAGTAGTTCTGTTCATTACTTTGCAGCTAACTCATATATTACCAATAGCATTTACTTTCCTAAGGAAATAGACAAATTGCAAAGAAAGCCCATCAAACTTCAATTTTCAATGTGAAGATATCTCCAGAACTGTATTTGACTATGAAAAACCACAATCATGCCTTTCAAGGCCGTGAAGTAATTTATATCAAATCCTAGGAGAGAGGATAGGTTAACCTTTTGTCGGTATTTCATAGCATTAAAAGAGTTGGGTGAACAGGCAAAGCCACAAATCTGCCCCCTTTCCTTGACAACTATAAATGCAAAAAAAAAAAAGAAAACAAAACAAAACCCAGCAACAACAACAACAACAACAACAACAACAACAAAACCTCTGTCGCCAGAATTCTCCACACACCTGATTTAACCCTCAAAGGCATCTGTTTCACTAGGGCAGACTTCGCTGGGCATGTCTAATTTTGTTCCCTGCAGCCATTCTGCACGAGCGGAGAAACTACAGTTGCCAACCCACTCCACCGCTCACTGCGTCAGCCTGAGAATCTGAAAAGCAAAATTGTAGTGTTAAAAAAAAAAAACCTTTTACACTGGCTTTCCTAGTAAAATAGTAAGAAGAAAACACAAAGCAGGTTGTTTCCCACAATATATGTGACATCTTGGTTTAAAGTGACAAGGCCATGTTGCACTCTGACAGGTGTAGTGTTAAGACCTGACAGATATAAACCTGCAGGAACAACCTCCCTGTCACAGATATTTAAGCTCAGGTTAAAACTTTGATTTGATATTCCCTTTATTAGCTTGTGCAACTGTGAGTGTTAGTGCCTTTCAAGTTCATTATGAATTATGCTACTCTTTATATTACTGTCAATTTAAGGTCCCACTTTACCAAAAGGAAGGCATTTTAACTGCTCATCAAACCTGTGCACGTTTTTTCGCATTAAAACATTTAGATCAATCCAACCTTCAGCTCTCAAAGAGAAGTTCCATTGTTTATCAGGCCATGTCTACACTGGCTGAGCAAAGCGCTCTGTTCAGATGGAGAAGCGCCTTTGGCAGCTAGAGTCCACATAGCTGACCCATGGATGCTGGGTGGAGCGTCTTCACCTAAGTATACAAGTGCAATGAAATCACTAAGCATTGGATGAAAATGACCCATGATGATAAAAAAGCATCACATGATTGTTGCTCCAATGTTTTGGCATGGCAGTCATTTAGAATGTAATTCAAAGAACCTATAAATTTAAGAATAAGGCTTAAACTTTACAGGCAGAATGCATATGAGTATTGAAATAGTTGATAACTCAAAATTTGGTTTAACCCAAGTCATATTTTTTTTCTAAACAAAGCAGTGCTGGCACAATTTTTCAGTGCAGTACTTTTTCCTAACTGGTCTAAGTTAAGCTTTTGACTCTGATTTTGTATTTATGGGAGAAAAATTCTCAGAGTTCAAATAATTGCAAAGAGGACTTCCATCTCACCAAAATGGGTCTAAATTATAATTGATATTTTGGAGGAAATATTTATACTCTTCTCACTTGCACCATTAAGATTTAGTAACACTGGTGGGTGCATTCTATTCTGTACGATGCCCTCAAATCATCTTGAACGTTGAGATCCTTTCAGAATTCTAGAATAAAAAGAGGTTTAGCAGAAATGTTCTAACAGCTATGAAATTATAGGGTTCTCCCTTCTTCCACCCAAACATACTCAACCCTGTGAAATAATAGATACAGCACTAATCACCTCTGGAATTTCGCCAGGCTTCCCCCTCCCCGAGCAGGCAGAGATGCACCAAACTGCCTTGAAGGAAGAAAACCTCTCGCCCCCCATGGATGCCATCAGAGGCGGTCAGACAGCACCCATTCCAACGATTTGAAGACAGCAGGGGTGAAGACTTAAAAGTGTGGGAATCGACCAGAACTGTGCTTTATGAGCCCCACTTCACCAATATCACCCCAAAATAAATTTGCTATGTCAAACTCCAAATCCCAGTTTCCCTAATCACTCAGACTTTGCAGGCAGGATTAGCTCTCATTTTTGCCACTCCCGTCTTCAGATTTTCAGGATACTGGTCAGTCTGTTTCTGTTTTATAATCACTCAATTAAAATGCTAAATCTTCTTTTGCTGGGAGCACAATTCCTCCTTCAGACTGAGTCATGGCAACACATTAGTTGAATAACTTACAAATAACCACTCAAACTCTAAAACCAAAATAAATCTAGGTGATGTGAAAATTGCTTTATTTAGCAAAGTCTAAGATAAATCTAATCTATTATTTTCTTGTTCTATATAGAAGCCCTAACAGTGTCTAAATATAAAACTACTGTCGCTATCTTTGCCACCCAGTGTTCAAGGACCTCACGATGAAGATGATGATACAGCAAACACCCTTAGGGTCTTTATTCTGTGCCAGGAGCTGTTCTAACTGTTTTATTTGCATGAACTCTAAGTCCTATTATTTCTCTCTTACAGAACAGGAAACAGAGCCAGGGAGGCAGCAAGCAACTCGCCCCAGATCACATGGTTAGCGAGTGGTGGAGCCAGGACTGGAATCCAGGCAGTTTAGCTCCAGAGTCTATCCTCTCACGTTGCTTCTCTGCCCGTTGCCCCGCCACGGCCACCACACCAATGTTGTGAAGAATGGAGATCCACATCAGAAAGTAGTGTCTTTACACAGCCTCTTTCCTTCCTATATGATTGAAACTAGTAGGCAAGAGACTAAATTTTACTGTCGAAACTGTTCTGGTCACTTGGCTCATTTTTCTGCTACCTACTGGCATTTTCTTCCTCAATGAGCCAACATCTCCTTCTTTTAGAGCAAGTTAGATGAACTCAGAAGCAAAATTAATTCTCACTGATCATCATTTCAAGATACCATTTATTCCTCTAGCCCTGGCTGGTGTGGCTCAATTGGTTAAGCATCATCCCGCAAAACGAGAAGTCACAGGTGTAAGTTCCCAGCCAGGGCACCTGGCTAGGTTGCAGATTCCATTCCCAGTTGGAGCGTGTGTGTGCCAGAGGCAACCAGTTGATGTTCCTCTCTCATATCAATGTTTCTCTTGCTCTCTTTCTCCTTCCTTCCCCCCCTCTCTTAAAAAAACAAAACACATTTACTCCTCTAAAACTTCAGTTCTGCAAGATGCCCACGGAATGTGGAAAATGTCAAATAAGAAAGAAACTGCAAGAATAAAAAGGATTAAATAGGGCTTCTGAGTAGAGCATTACCTGACTGTTGCCTCATGGAATCAGGCCTCCTGAGGTCAAATCCTGACTCTGCCTTTCACAAGCTGAACCAGTTATTTTTTCTCTCTATGACTTAGGTTCCTCACCTATACAGTGGGAATAAAAACAGCACTACTGCTGAAGGTTGTGAGGATGAACAAACAAATCCACGTCAGATGCTTTCCCCAGTGCATGGCACACGGCAAGCACTCAACTCAAAAAATATGTGCTGTCACTATCACATTTGGTTTGTATAGGACTAGCCTCTAGCTACAACTAAGCACTAACAATCAAAAGTTGTGCCATTTTGGTATAAAAATATTAATATAGATTTTAGGAAGATCAGTTGTGATCATAAGAAATCCTTTCAGCCCAGGAATAATTTAGCTTGGAAAATTCACTATGACGTGTATTCACATAAAGTTCTATTCCCCTTTATTTTGTGAGCACACAGGCAAATCACAGAATATGTCAGAACTACTTAAAAAGGCATCAGAGCTTACAATGTTGTCAGACACTTCAAGGGCCAGTAGATTTTTCTATAAGCTTAGGTTTTAAAGAACATAAAAGGATTATTTGCTTAATTTCTTAAATATCATAATCCATATTTTGCACAGTCACTTAAATGAAACTGACCTGGCAGCAAAGATGCAATTTTAACAATTGTGCAAGTCCATTCTAGTGAAACTGTCCATGCAGTCAGCTTTCCTTCCTTCCTTCCTTCCTTCCTTCCTTCCTTCCTTTCCATTTTCACCCTTCCTCTCTCTGTTTTCTAAAAATTTAGGCTTATGCTTAAGTCCCAACACTTGGAGGTCACATGGGCCACTTAGAAATGGCTGCCTAGGAACCTGAAATAGAAATTTCCACCGCAGAGAAAATAAGGCAAGTCCTAGAAGAAAATGATCACTGAATGCCCGCTTGCACTGAGCTACTCGGTGTTAACAAAGACTGAAACCTTTTTTCCTTTCAGTTCTAAAATGGACACACCACCAGCTAAGAGAACGAGTAGGCTGAAAGCCCAGTAAAACCATGGAGGAGCCATTCGAGGTAGAGCTCACTCTTTTGCCTGGATATTCCCAGGATGCACTGAACTGCCTTCTTGTGGTCCAGCCGCCACAGGACTTAAGAACCACTTGCTGGTCTCCAAACAGCTGGCAGTGAGGAGGGGAACATTTGCCTCGCTTCCCACTACCTTGGAGATGGCGTATTCTTTGGCAGTTTCTGAGGGAAAGGAAGTATTGATGTATAAAGTAGCGCCCTAATCAAGCATTAGAATTTTTAATAAAAAGGTTAGTGTGCAGCCTCATCTGGTACACAGAGAACAGACAGAATATAGAATAGTAAGACAAAGCACATAAGATTTTGATTTTAATCCTACATCTGCACCTGTGAAAGCTCACCACTGTCAACAGAGAGCACAAACTTAAAAACTCATGGACCAGCAGACTGTCATTCTGAGATGAGGTCTTAGCGATAATCAGCTTCCAATTCCTAGACGACCATGTGGATGAGCTCATAAAGGTCAGAAATACCGATCTGCCCAAAGCATCATCCAGTGAGGGGCAGTTCTAGGATTAGA